AAAAGTTGGAGAGATATAAAGGACGAAGACTGAGAAAATGCCATTGAATTTAGCAATTAAAGTGATTATTAAAGGAGAGCAGTTACAGTCTAATTTCTGAATCAGAAGCCAAACTGAGAAATTAGTGGGAGGTGAGAAAGTAGAGACAATTAGTATAAATGACTTTTCTTCTAGAAGTTAGATTAAGAAAGGGAGGAAACATAAATTTGAACATGTTTGTAAGGATGCAAAACCTTTCATTGTTTCCACCTCTGCCAAGAGAACAAAGTTCAGTCTTCATAATCTGACATTCAAAGCCCTTGACAATACGGCCCAATTGCACCTCTCACTGCTCACTTATGTAATACTAATACCTCAGCTCCTGCCAATCTCATCTACTCACTATGCCCACAACATACTTTTTAATTAGTTGTCTCTAGGAGGCAGCTAGGTGGCTCAGTGCTGGACCTGGAGTCAGGAATACCCGAGTTCAAATCCGGCCTCGTATACTTATTAGCAGTGACCCTGGGCAAGTCATTTAGTTTCTGTTTGCCTTATTCTACTGGAGAACGGAATGGCAAAGAACTCCAGTATTTTCAACAAGAAAACCCCATAGGCAGTACTGGGGTGCTATGGTCCACTGAATCACAAAACAGCCAGCCCCTACTGAATAACAACAGTTGTCTCTTTACCTTTCTTCATTCATATTATTCTTTCCATCAGAAAAAGCTCTCTCCTATTCTCTATATTTTGAATACTATCAATGCTTTAAGGCCCAGCTCAAGTCCCGTTACTTCTGGGAAAGCTTACTTGTCCTCTTCAGCCCACAGGTTCTCTCCCCTTCCTTTGAACATCAGTTCACTGTTTAAAAGTGTTAGATTTAGAGTCTCCTGATCTAGATTTGAATCCCACATCTAAAACTATGTGATTTGATTTTTTTTCATTTGTAGAATGAAGTGTTGGTGTACCTCATAGGTACTTCCAGATCCAAATCTTTGATCTTCATCCTTTTCTTCCATTCATTAAGCATTTTCATATTACCTTGGTTTTTTGTCTTTTTTTAGGTTTATGCCCTGTCTACCAAACTTGACTGTAAGCTCCTTGAAAGCAGGGGCTGGGTCTTATATTTCTTTGCACGTTCAGTAGAACCTAGAATAGAGCACATTGTAGGCACTCAGTAAATATTTGATTGGCCTTGGGAGCTTTATTTAAGGTAATTTTCAGTTAATTGGAGCACTTGAAACAGGTTCATAGCATCACAGCTGTAGAGCTAAAAGGGACCTTAGAAAACATTTAGAATAACCCCCTCACATTTGTAGAGATGGTTTTGCACAATGGATACAATTTATAAGACTCTTGAAAGGAAAGGTAATGGCAGTTCAGTAGAAAGACAGCTAGACTTCAAATCAGGGAAATGTGTTTTTTAATCCTGCCTCCAATACTTACAAGCTAAATGACCTTGACCAAAATATATTCCCTCCTTCTTTTCCTCATTTTCTTCATCTGTAAAATGAAGATTAAAATGCCTGTTGAACCAAGCTACTTTGAAGGATTGTTGTGAAAATCAAATGAGATAATGTAAGTAAGCATTAAAGCAGTGTATAAATATCAGCTATTATTAAAGTAGAAATATGGCCTGGAGTTGTGATTATTATATCTAAGTAGCAGTTAGATCACTCAATGATTAAGTGCTAGATTTGGAACCAGAAAGACCTTCGCTCAAATCCTGCCTCAATAGCTGTGTGACCCTGGAAAGTCACTTAACCTATGTCTGCCTAGGGTCCCTTCCAGTTCTAAATCTATTGTTCTGTGAACTTCCAGGTAAGGAACTCCCTCCACCAATACAGTTGGCACCTTCTCTGCAAGTCTTGAGTTGTTGCCCAGAGCACTAAGAAATTAAATGACTTGCTCAGGATCATAGCCTACCTCAGAGGCAGGACTTAAATACAGGTCTTCTTGACTTTAATGCCAGTTTTCTATACACTTAAGCTACATTTATCTCTACTAAAATAGCCACAATAAATATGACCAAAAGACTCTGAAATAAGTTCAGAGACAAAAACTTGAGTTCTAAGTTAATTAGGACTCTTTAATACCATGCTTTTATTGGGGCAGAGAGGGAAGGAGGTGGTCCAGACATACAGCACAGAAACTCCTTGCACCAACTCATCTGTAAATATTACTCTTAGAAAATTGTGTGGGACACTGAGAGGTTAAATGATTTGTCCAATGCAATAGAGTTAATAAGCATTAAGAGACAGGACTTGCACACTTCTATCCATTACATCCAAACTACCTCTCAGTAACTATTGTTTTCTTTGGTAACCAAAGTTTTCTTGAGCCATCCATACAACTTAGCTCAGTGGAGACAGATGTTTAGTTCTATAAGGTAAAGAATTATATTTTTCATAATTAATAATTTGCCTACTTATGGATAAGTTTCTGAAACTGGTGATTATTATTACTAAGGCTACATTTAAGGATCTCTAAATAAATATGGCTGATACTTAGGCCTTATGCATTAAATGTTTTTAGGAATGTATTTCCCCCCAAAATATGGACCAATGGGCTCATTCTGCATATATTGTTCCTATCATAAAAGGGAGATAACTATTACTACTTACCTCAGCTTTTGTAGCACAACCTAAATGTGAATTATTACCAATAATAATACTAACAATAGTAATATTTGGTGTGGACATGATGTTGCATGATATTTGAGATCTTTAGGGAATAAGGCCTTGACTGTGTGAGAGTTAGTGCAGTTTTCAAAGTTACGCATTATCTTTATTGCATTGTTCCTGGCTAAATATTTGCTTAAGTGTCATGATTTCAGTTGAATTCCATTATTTATAGCCAAAGGAAGTTAGTGCTTTCTCAGGGTGCAAATACAATGGACAATTTCATTGGAGGGAAGAAATTAATGGTAAAGGAAATAAAAATTCAGATGGTTTTACTCTGGTCTAGGAGACAGAAGCTATGGGAGATATGGCTCTTATTCTTTCATTTACCAACTGTGTGATCCTGGCCACTTCACTTAAAACTCTATATGATGAAGAATAAAATGTTCTGCCTACCTCATACGACATGTAATGAAGATCAACATAAATAATATGTACTCAAGTGTTTTGAAAATCCTAAAGTTCTATATAAATATTAGATTTTATGTCACACCCCAGCCTCAGAGCCCCTAGGAAGATGCCTATTTAATACTGCATGAAGTCCTTCCTTTGTCCCTACATATCCTTCCCTACTCTACATTAATGAATATTGAATTCCAAGGACCTTTTCATATTGCTGACTCAATATTCAGACATTGATTTACCACAATCTTTCATTTGCTTTTCCCCTTCTCTCAGTTAAGACTTTGATCATATCATCATTTATTGCATTTACTTTCAGCAAATGGGCATAGGAAAATAAAATTGTTGAAATTTAAACAATTGTCAAAAGCAGTCAAAAAATTTTGAAGTTAAGATAAAATGGATAATTCAAGTTTGGTTGGAAATATTATTGATTTCTAATTTCCATGATTACAATTGAAGTCTCTCTTCTTTCACTTGAGAGTTAGTATTTTTTTTAATCTTCAAATTATTTTTATTTTTCCTTTTATCTATAAATTGGCAACCACCAATCATTTCTCCTTATCCCCAATTACCTCTTTCAAAATTTACTCACCATTTCCACTTAACTCTATTCCTCTATGTACACTCATTAATTTAACAAATATTTACTAAGTACCTACTATGTGTAAAATACTTTAGGGGAAACAAAGCATAAGACCTGGCTATGTGGAGCTCATAGTTTCATTTTTAGTGACATTATCCTCCACATAGACTACTAGCATTGATCTGCTTTTTGAACATTACTTTGAAGCTTGCTACACAGTCCACACTGCTGTCCTAAGGAAATATTTTATATGATTTTAGCAGTCCTGACTAACTTGGACTAGACTGAAAATGCAGACCTATGCTGGCATTAATAGTGAAATCTATGGTAGCAAAGGAAGGGATTCTGGATCTATTTGTGATTATCTAGAAATAAATTGTGGCTCACTACTCTAAGTGACTCTTAAGATGAAAGAAAAGCATCTAGTTGACGCAGTGGCTAGAGTACAGGACCTGCAACAGGAAGACTTGAGTTCAAATATTGCTTCAGATACTTACTAGGTAGATGACCTGGACAAATCACTATCAGCCTCAGTTTCATCATCCATAAAATGAGGATAAAAAATATCACTTACTTCATACAGTTGTTATGAACATCAAGCAAGATATTGTCTGTTAAGAGCTTTGTAAACCTAAAAGTATTATCTGCATTAGTCATTGTCTATCAACACCTAGCCCTGAATCTGGTCTTTTAGTAAAATTATCAGGTAATTTAATGGAAGAGAGCCATCACCTGAAATAATACTTTGAAAATACTTTGTATTTTCCAGTAGTTAGATTGTAGGCTCCTCAAGGGCAGGGACTGTCTTTTGCCTCTTTTTGTATCCCCATGCTTAGAACAGAGTTGGCATTTAATAAGTATTTACTGATTGAGTGATTAGGCCTTCTTTTAGTACCTTAAATGTTTCAGTTTCATGTAAAACTGAAGACAGGGCTATTAAATAAAAACCACAAAGTATTCTTATAAATCAGTATGCAAAATGTCCTTAAGCTCTATATCTTAGAAATATTGCAAATGGAACTAAACAATTTGTAATACATAATGAACTGCACATTTCTGCTGATAATCTTAAATAAATAATCCAGAAATGGTGAACCTCTCATTAACTTTCCCTTGACTGGTACCATGGCCACTGCTGCATATTTCATGAAACAGGAGTTTCCTAAACTGATTCTGAAATAACATGTCTGCTGTGCATATTCAGTTTTTAAAAAAGGAGGGGGGGTCACCCATCTTGTTGTAGGTTAATGTTAAGTCAAACACTTTTATATGGTCAAACTGCATGAAGACAAAAAAGAAATTAATGTGTCCTTTGAAATTTTGTAAAGTATGTAAAGTATACAAAAGTAGTATGCAAGTTAAAAATACAGGTATATTTTGGTGTTTTATTTTATTACTAAAGAGCTAAGCTCCCCAGATGGTCATCTGCCAGAGCTGCATGGGTTACAATCAAAGAAAATTACACAAATATTTTCCCTTTATCCATTTTCTTATCACTCATAGCATTATAGTAAGCCATGTCACTGATTCAGTTAACTGCATCTATGTACACTGCTTATAAGAGATGACTCTGGCAAGGCTACTGATAATCAACTTGGGCCTTTCTTTAAAAAACAAAAACCAAACAACTGATGTGTAATGAAAAGTTCATCTTAAAAGGAAAAAAAAATTAATAATGACAAGCCTTTAAGGAAGGAATTTTTAAAGAAAAAAATAGATTATTTTTTTTCTTTTCTAGGGTTTCATTTTTTTTTCTTTTCAAGGGGTTAGAGTTAGCCAAACTCAAGGAAAATCAAAGTGAATTCCTTGGAAAATGTGTATTACAAATTTATCTTGGTTAAAAGATAAAACTCAAAGGAATAAGTAAAATGTTAAATGTGTAATTATTCCATCATTTAACAGAACCAATGCCTTTTTCACTGAATTGGCTTTACTGTAGTAAAATTCCATGTTTGTCACCAATACTTTATTGTAAGCGGTAACTTGCACACTTAATAATTGAACGACAAAAAATAATGTTCTATAGTTAGCCTTTGCACAGGCTACTTGACTATACACAAGGCATAGTGATCATTACACAACCTAATCTTCATAATAATTTGTGCACTAAAAGACACCTATCAGACAACATGTGAACATTACAGTGAAATGACCTCACAAGTCCAGTGAAAATTCAGCATAATACAAAACATGTTGATCTACTACAAATGACATCTTTAAAACAATTCAGTAGTAACTTAAGTAGAGTCTGAAGCAGAAATTTGTTGTGTAGTTATAAGTCTTTTAAGTGAAGCAACCTCTGCAGATAAGTTTGCTATCCCTTGTTTTAAATACAAGTTCTCTGAGTCAGAGACATTGTAGACACTGTCTTTAATTTCAATAACTCCAGTTTTGCAACTATTCTGAATTTTGCCATTGAGTTCTTTTGGATGCCAATGTTCTGGTTTGAGTGACCAATCTTGAATGTTAGTCACTTGCACGGAGAAAGGCGTAAGGGAAGAATGTACCAAATTTTGTGTATCATGCTTTTCAAGTTCAAAATGTCTCTTTGATGACATATCAATAGGTGAGGAGAGTTTCTGTGTGGCATCAAACTCATTATCTAATGTTTCCACTTTTATTTGCATGGCTTTGGCTTTAATCCGAAGCTTATGTGGTAGTGCAGAATTTACTTCTGGGACTTTAACAACTGTTGCATGTATGCTTTTAAGTTCAACTGGGGAATGGATTGGGCCTTTGGGAACTTGTTGCTCATCTTCTCCATCAGATGACTTGCCTACCACACCGTCATCAGTTTCTGATGTTCTTGGTGAATTACTGGAGGATCTATTGACTTGCAAGAGAGGAGGTGAGTGAGAATAACCAGAAAATGTGTTTCCTATGTAGTTTTGATAAATGGATGCTGTATAAGAACCTCTATCATCTCTTGACTCTCTTGTATAGCTCTCTAATTCCATAGGTTCCTGTTTTATGTCTTGGAACTTATTCTGAGGACTTCTGCAATTGTTCTGAATAGGACTCTCCTGAGAATGCTCTATTGATGACACTTCTGAGACATCAGACAAAGAGCTTTGAGGAGAGTGTTTAATGACAGAAATGCAACTACTTCCTACTATAGAAGTTTCATGTTCATCGACAAATGAGCTAACATTTGATTTGGTTGTTTGATATTGGAAATACACAGCTGTAGAATTGCTGAGTTTCTGTATCTCTTGAGCATACACTGCCGAACTAATTAAACCAAATTTTAATTTTAGTGAGAGCAGTTCTGCTTTTAAGGAAGCATTCTCTTCTCCCAATGCAATTAATTTGTTTTCCAAAACCAGGTCATTCAGCCGACGTTTCTCACGAGATCTTTTGGCAGCTTCATTATTCTTTCGCCTTTTTTCCCAATACATAGCATCTTTCTTTTCATCTGGAATGAATTCCCGTTTTCTCCTGCAAGCTGAAGATTTGTTTTTTCCACCAACTCCTTCATTAAGTAATATATCTTCATTTGTATTCAAGTCTTCGGATACTTCAGTTAGAGCAGAGTTAAGTACTATCATTTTGTCCACATTTCTACTTGTATCAACAAGTGCCTGCTCCTTTTTAATGGCCTGCATTTTTCTTAGCTGCATCAGAAATAATTTTAACTAAATCTTTTTTTATCTTCTGTTGCAGGGTAAATTATATCTCCAGTATTTTTCAAACCACAGTTCTTTAAAAATCATAATTTTATATCCATCAGCATTCCTCTTTTTGTTTCATATTACAAAAGGTAAGAACACATATGCTCTTCTTGCTAAATAGAGTGGAAGTCTTCTAAGCGATCTGCAATAAATAAATTAAAAAAAACACATCTTTAGTTTTTCAGTTATACATCTCTGGTTTTTGTTTTTGATAACCTGCCACTTTTGTGCCATGCTACTTTTAAATCACTTTAGATGATATTCATACTACTTCCTATAGATCTTATTATTTAAAAAAAATAACTCTGGCATAAATTCATTTGACTTTAAGAAAGGGCAAATAATTGAAGGCTGGTATGAGAATTCCCTCAGCCATCTTAAAAGCATAATAATGAAAACTTTCTCTTGGTAGTTAAGACACATAATGTTGTAACCCAACTATTACTTAAATTAAATCCTATGGTATTACCTGAGACACAGAAGCAAAGTGATTTGCCCAGGGTCAACTGGTTAGTAAGTGTCTTAGTGGAAATTTGGACCCAATTCTCTTTCACTCCAAACTAAGCACTCTATCCTCCTATGCTATACTGCGTCTGCAATTTCAAAAGATCTAATTCCAGTTTTTCACAACAAAACATATAAAATGAATTTGCATTCTTGAAACAATTAAAGTAATATTCATATAAAATATATTAAAAAATCTGACCACAATGTATACATAAAATTTTCCATAATCTCACTGAATGAAAGCTTGGCCTAGTAACTTAGCTTGTTTCAACAGGTGACTCATCTCATTCAGCAGCAAGAGGAAAGTAGTCTGCCTTTCAAAACAGGCATCTCTTTTGAAAGCATCTGTGCTATACAATTATAAATGTTTTATATTTCTAGTTCCCTCAAAATTAATTGAGCAAAATTTCACTTAGAAATATGATAAGCATTTTTGAAAGGCTTAATATTGCTATCACAATGGGTTACATTTTTATAGTAGCTTTGTTAAATAATTTAACATGAAATATAAGAACAATTCAATGCTATAAAGAAATTTATTTTTCTTAGCAGTAAAAGAGTTTTCAATTTAGGGCACAAGAAAAAATTCAAATACAGAAAAAAAGAATTGAAGTTTCATTTTTATCATGTCACTCTTCTGTGCTTCTAGAATTTCAACTGACAGGAATAGATTTGATGATCCCAAAGGTCCTTTTCATCTTCAAAATACTCTATTCTATTAATGAAATATTTAGGATCTGAATTTGGCTTTGGCTTAACAAGGTGCTCAATATTAGACACTGAATCCAAATAAATACTTTGTTTCTATAAGAAAGTCTTGATTTTTTTTCTAGACTAGACATTTTCTAGATATCCTTCTCAATGCCTTAATTGTATATTCATATTTTTGTAAGGATTATTTAATAAGGCAGCTGCTCAAACATGGCTCTCCACTTAGCAGTCAGTGACACCTGATTCTGCTTACATAAAACTAATCTCTAGTGTTTGTCACCATTTATTGTGCATAGTTTTACACTGACTAAAGAAAGTAATTTTAACTTTTAACTTATCAGCTGGGAAAATCTGAAAGTACAGCATTCAGTCAGTTTACTTTGTCTTTTACAGACGGTATAGAAAAAGTGACACAATAACAATTAAAAGGGGTCATAAAGAATAAGGTTTCTAGCTATGTTCTATTCCATAAAACTGTGCCAATTTTTCTGTCACAAAAAACTCTGCACGGCCAAAAGAATAGCTAATCATGATTCACTGAAATCCATGATTAATTACTACCATATTACTATGTCTGATAATATAATCTTATGGAAAATAAAGTCAGAAGGTTAGCACACAATAGACAATAACACTTCAGAAGATTTTTTTTAATCTACTATTTAGGGAAATAATGCTAATTCTCATAGTTTTCTATTCAGATTTGTTCTTTTCGTAACATGAAAAACATTTTCCCTGACTGATGAATGATTCTTACCTGTTAAAATGTTTTGCCACGTTACATGGTTAGTATATAGGTCTGCATTACCACAGTGACATAGGTATTGAGAAAATCAGTAACTCAAGATAAAGATAACTACATCAGCTTTCCATGTGTCTTTAGCTACCAAGTATCCTTCAACAGATTCATTTTATTCTCTGGAACTACAATTATGAACACAATGTGTTACTTTGTTCAAGTGCTCTATCTCTATACACAACTACTTTTCCTTTCACCAATTTTACATGTTCTCTCTTTTCATTATCTCTTTCCACTTAATTTTACTTTCCAGGTCTACATTAATGGTATGGAGATCTATTTTGCTTATTTCAATTATTTGTCCTGTTATTTCTATGCTTTCTACATTGACCAAATGTATGTATCATTTGATTCTTCAACTGATCAGCTCAAAGACAGAGATAACTTGGTAAGGGGGAGGCACAGAATATTGGGAGCCCAAAACAAGCCTAAATCTACCTTTCCTTTCTCTTTATTTTTCCCTTCATTGTTTTCAATACTATTTCTTGTAAGTTTAAGGGTCCTTAACTTGGGGTCAACAAATTTTTTTAAAAATATTTGGATAACACTTTCAATATAATTGGTTTCCTTTATATGCCTGTGTAAACACAGTACTCTGAGAAGGGGTCAGCAGGCTTCACCATACAGCCAAAGGAATCTGTGACATACAAACAGTTAAGAACCTCTGCTCTAAGCATAGTTACCTCACTACTTCTGCAGCCAATATAGTGGACTCTGGCTAAAATCTTCATTTTCCTGATTAACTTTTCCCATATTTCAAATGTTTTCTATATAGATTACCAAACTTCAACATTTATAAAGCAGTTAACACAACACAAAGACATACTGCCTTTTGTGTGTTGAATAAACACTTATTAACTTTATATGTCATAAAAATTCTGTGCTCTTATTACTGTGGCTATGATCCATGCTTTCTCAGTTCCATTCATCTACGGTGGCCTACATGTTGGTACTAAGTCCCTTGAGTTTAAGATGGTCCTCAAAAACAATGCTTTCAAGCTTGGTAGTATCTTCCAGCGCTTTTACTGTGGAGTAGCACAGCTGTCAAGAAATCAGGGTTAGCTCTATATTATGCAGAAGACAACTTTAGTGTTTAATTTTTTAAATATTCATTCATTCATAATAATTTTCATATCTCAAAACTATTGGTCCCCATTTTAACATTCTAATTTAAAATCGTATGCATATATTTCCACATAATATATATTCTCTTCATTTATTCTAATGTATAACACAGACCTCAACTCACCATTTCCCTTCCCAGGACTTGCTTAATATGACTGGATTTTTCTTGGTTCTATCATACAATGTTACTACAAAGGTAACATTGCAATAGTGTTCGCCACATGCATATGAAATTATTTTCATGTATTATACTTATTATTGAGATACCTTCTTCCAGTGAAGCAAACTTTTTTTTGAATCTGCATAAACTGCAGTCACTACACCACCACCTATATACTGTTTCATAACAGCTTCATAAAGTACCTTATTTATGCTTTGGGAACAGTTGATAATTGAGAAAAAAACCCTCTTATAATAACTTATGTATTTTCACACATCATCTAAATATTTATCTTTCCTGGCTTTTTACATTTAAAATAATATAGGAAAGTCAAAATTAACTATACTTGTAACTATGGATAATGATGGTCAATATTCCACATTTTAAAAATCCCACTGAAATCAGCTATAATCTTGAATGTAGAATAATGGGGAAACTTGGCCTCATAAGACTTAAATTAGTCTTATATTTAAGCAGAGTACAAGATGATTTTTCAACAGATTTCTCCATAGGACAACCCAAAGGAATTATATTCTATCTGATAGCAAATAATCCAGTGTCTTCAGTCAAGACAATTATTTCCCTTTGGTAACAACTGATGATGTCATCAGGAAGAATTATCTTGATTCCTCAGACTACATTTCAATCTCAAATATTTTCCCTTATGATTAATTTTACAACTACTTTATCATTTCCTCATAAAATATTTTAAAAATAACAGAGAATTCTGTTCTGTATTAGTCATTACTTAAGTTTCTTTTTGGTAAATGATATTAATAGCACCAAATGCCAATACAATGATGTTGTTAATGATAGTATTGTATTCAGTACTGTTAACTTCATTACAAGCTTTAGTTTATCACGGTACCTTAAAAACTCAGCCCTCTGCTTACCCTACCCCCAAATCCCAATGTCACAAAACCCAAACCCAGAAAGGGCTTGCTAATGTATGCTCATTTTAGTTATCTAATTTTCCAAACACACTAATGAAATATCATCATGATGCACTTGAATTTACTTTATGTTTTCACTTTCCTTTTCTCCCCCCTGTTTTCTACAGAATAATTTTTTTTTAAAAAAGCATTAAACTGTGTAGGCATGAGTTGCTTTACTTCTTTATGGTAGTGGGGGAAAAAATTAACCTTGCAGTCAGAAGACCTGAGTAAAAGTTATAGCTCTGCCATTTACTAGAAGAGTGAACTTGGGCAAGATATTTAACATCTCTGAGTCTCAGTTTTCTCATCTGTAAAATAATGAATTATCAAACACTTGAACACAAAGCTCACAATATCAAATGAGCTAACATTATGTGTATAAAGTACTTTTATAGTAGATACAAACATGATATTACAGTTATCCCTTCTACATCACGATTTTTCCCATGTCTATGTTTTGATAAATCCAAGGCAGGCATAAGAAATTAAATGAGAATTTCTGGGGAGTTTTGAGGAAGCCACATACAACACAGGGCCTATGACCAAATACTTAACCCAAATTTTACAAAAAGGTACTGTAAACAACACGTAAAAGAAAATGAAAAAAAATCAGACTTCTTTATTATGATGGGAGGGCCAAAAATTTTTATGCAAATTTTCCAGATTATGGGAGATGAAGGCAGGGATACCCGGCCCCGATGTGAAAGGGATAACTAATGTGAATTGCTTTTATTATTTAAGAGTGAAAGGGATTTAATGAAGCTATTTTTCACATATTTCTAATAATTTAGACAAGTCACTAAAATAATGAATAAGCACAAATCTTCATTTCAAGCTATGCTTATTTTTAAGAAGCAGCATCACTGAAAATTAACTTTCTACTTATGTTTCTAATCAGGCAGCTA